ACCTCCAGACCGCTCGGATGCGCGTAAAATACAGTTAAAATCTCCGCCAACTAGCCAGGGACCCCTGATGGATGCCGCCAGATTGTGTAGAAGCTCCCACAACACCCGCCGGCCACGCGGATTTGGAGAGGCGTAAATGAACGTAACCAACGATTCTTTGCCATCAATCTTTACGTGCAGATGAACAAACTGACGGTGACACTTCAAGATAGTCACCTCTGCACGTTCTCTCCATAACACCCAGATCCCTCCCGCGAAACCAGAAGCCTCCACACGAAAGGAACGGGGGAAACCAGAACGCCGAATGAAACCATCAGCATTGGCGCCGCTAACTTTAGGCTCAAACAAAGCTACGACATCAGGTTGGTATTGAGAAATAATTGTAGAGAAGGCTCTGCGAAATCTGTGGGAGCCCGCTCCTTGCACGTTCCAGGCTAGATAATTCATCGGAAAACCAATTAGAAAGAGAGATCGCTTCATCAGAGCGAGGACGGGTGGACATCGCCCGGACCCATGTGCACATCTGCAACGCCCAAATCAACGTCCTGATCAGGGTAAGGAGTCCCCGAAATATCGGGAGGTTCCTCTTACAAGGAGGAGTCACCACCACTGGAATTTTGAGGATCCACTGCCATATCAATCACCGGGGAAGAGGAACTGACAAAAACTACAGCACGGTGTCGTTCTGGATCAAGGTCAGTGCTCGCAGAAACCATGTATGCATCATCCTGTTGATCTCCGGGGCCCCTTCGGGTACCTTGACCGACGCGAGTATGCTCGCTAACACGTCCCATCACCACCTCGCTGCCCGTATGACCACTGGTACCTTTCTCACGACCCGATGGGCTCCCGTGACGTGTCTCCCTAGGACCCGGAGGTGTAATAGGCTTGGCTATCCGTTTGTCATTCGTCTTTGGTTTCCATACCTTTGGCCCTCGCCCACTATCTTCGACCTGGAAATTCCCTTCTCCCGTTTTGCCCCGTATCAGCTCATCCTCCTTATCACCTTCGGGCTCCCTCGACAGAGAGTTAAACCGTGAACCCGAGGCCTGGACCCCCTGCTTGAACTTCGAACTAGTATCGGTAGATGGTTTCGGTGTGCGGGAATACGGTCGTGTCCGCTTTTGCGCGACCATCCATGGCCCTGGTCCCGATTGGGGAATTGGCTGTTTATTGTTGTCCTGCTCGCTTCCATTCATAGGATCGGAAGGGACATCGTCAACCTGACCCTCTTGCCGCTTGCCCTCCCTGGCCGTTTCATCCCCTTTTGTACTGTTGTGAGAAGGGCAAGAGGCCGTCGTATGCCCGTACATTCCACACGTAAAGCAAATTTCCGGTAGGCTCTCATATTCAACTCTTTGAAGTCTGCCGCCAATCAGAAAGTCCGAGCATAACGGTTGGGAGAGGTCTAATAAGCAAGCTAGGCGAGCGTATTTACCCCTGATACGAGCTACTGTTTGGTAGTCGATCTTAACAACCTTACCAACGATTTGGCCAATTGACCGGAAAACCTTGTGGTTGTAGTACTGGACGGGGAGGCCGGGCAGGCGAATCCATGCTACCACCGATTGAGTGCGGATATTGGTTGGGTTGAAATCTATTGTCCACGGCTGCACATGGAGGTAATGATCCGCAATCACCCACGGGCCATCGGTAAGGGCTCGCAATTGTTCGTCATGGGAGTCAAACCGAACCACAAAGTACCCGTTCCCGAGGTCCATCATAGGGCTATCCCTGATGGAGGGCCAAAGAGCCGCCAGACGCTTATGCATCGTTAAGGGAGATACAGAATGGCCGACCAAACGCACCACCACAGCATACTTCCACTCTTGCAGGAGAGACTCCCAAAATGGGTCAGAGAAGAGAATCTTACCGGAACGGCCGTTCATTATCACCGTAATACTGTCATCCGAGATGTCGCCCTCTTCATTAGGGGATATCGTTACATGAGGACAGTTCTTGCTCAGAAGGTCCCTAAAGCTTAATTGGGGAGACACCTGGCGCGTCGAGGTCTGAGACGGCGGCTGCAGAGACCCCTCAGATTGACGCTCAAAAGCCCCGGACGAGCGCCGTTTCTTGGAAGCGGCAGAGGTGGTCTGGTTTGGTGGATACGCCTCAGAGGGGCTGGGAAAGACGCTATGTCGCAAGTCTGGAGGATCTAGACGGGCATCAGTCGGCAAATTGACTCCGGTTGTCGGAATTGACATTAGGTTGTTCTTCTCTCTTCTTAGGGTTGTTCTTACCATTATCTAATTAGTGAGTGGTCCGACGTTGCATGTGATGTCCAAATGTCGATATATTTTAATATTTCAAAATCAGCTTCTCATGGATAAGGTCTTCATATTAGATCTGAAACGTATAATTACTTGCGAGTGCGCTAAGTGTAGTACGAACGTGAGTAAACAATGTAAAAAGCGGAAGCAATAAACCGAAGATTTTAAAACTCTTCAGGGAAGCGTCCCACTTCCCCTCAGAGCTCTTTCATTGATAGATCAACCGTACACATAGCTTGGACTTACAACGACTCGAACTCCCTTCAAGCCTAGCCAACACTACTCAGATCCTATCAACTAATTCTCCGGCCACGTCCCGTGGACTTTTAAACTTACACTTACTCCCTAAGTGTATAAGCTGTAAAATAGTTTTTGGATGAAACACAAAGAACAAAATAAAACAGCTTCAGTCCTTGAGCTAGTTCGAACTCTCAGACTGAACTGTGTACAACTCAACAAAACAGAATACACGAAGCTCAATTATTGCTCTATAAATCTTCAAAACTCAGCAGCCGCAATGAGAGCTTGCATACGGGTATTTAAAAGAATCTCCTTAGAGTTGGAGTCTTCTACAAGACATAGGACTCCAACCTTGATTTCCTTCCTTGTTTATAGCATAAGAATATGGTAAGTGAATCTTCTTCTCTCTCTCCTTGATCTCTTTATCATACACGCCTCTTCCTTCATTATCTCATCCGGTTTCCTAAAAATCAAAGCACCATAATAAGATCCAGAATATCTTATTTATGGAATATAAAATAATCGTAATTAAGGCAACAAATAAACAAAGATCTTCCCTGTTTCTGTAGTTCCAGGTGCTTGTTAGAACCTTCGAACTAATGCCAAAATAAATATCTTTCAAGATCAGCATAGTTTTAGATTAGATCAAGATAAATAAAAGTTAAACCACCAGATAGATTTATAAAATAAAAATTTTATTTCACAATATGATCATCAACTCATCATGAAATTAAACAGCGAGTACATAAAAGTTCACTCGGTACATTAAACAAACACAAACACACACAAACCACCTACATTAATTATTTTCTCCTACTTACAAAACCAAATCAAACCAAACCAAACCAAACCAAGCCTTTATTTAGACGTACACAACACAAAGTGAACTCGATCGCCATCGCCCATTTAGAAGGTATTACCCGACCCATACCCAGTTCTAGCACCACCGCCCACATTCGGGTCCACGGGCCCAACCCCACCGGATGCCAACCCGGCGCCTCCGCCAGTCATGCCGCCCCCATGTGCGCGCTCCTGCTGCTTCTGG